TCCTTCCTTCCTTCCTTCCTTCCTTCCTTCCTTCCTTCCTTCCTTCCCTTCCCTTCCCTTCCCTTCCCTTCCCTTCCCAAGGAACCTTCCTGAAATCTACATGCTTCTTACCTATCTTGGTGAGCTGGGGGTGGGATGGAACTTTGGATCAAGAGGGGGGATCTGGGATGACTTCCAAATTAAGGAAGGGAAAAGAGATCCCGAAATCTTCAACTCCCATCCTAGGCCTAGAACAGGAATCCAAATTTCAGAATCCCCAGGGATGTCCAGCCCCTGAACACATCTTCTCTTAGCGATGTCTAGACCACTCACAACTGTACTTCTTTCCTTTTCTTCTTCTTCTTCTTCTAATTTCCTAATTCCTCTTTCTGTAATTGAGTGTTCTCCATCCTGAATTCCGAAAACAGCACAGTATCACATCCCCTTTCATACACCCTGTTTCCCCCGTTCACGCACAAGTCTTCTCTTTTTGGGGTTAAATAGACCCACTTCCTTCAATAGCGAGTTCTGTTGCTTTGTTTCATTTTTGCAAACTGCTTTGTTATTTTCCACTCCAACAGAAAGCAGGAGTAGAGAAATCAACGTCACAATAATCTAGATCAGGGATCTTCAAACTTGACGGCGTTAAGACTTGTGGACTTCGACTCCCAGAATTCCTCCTCCTCCAGCCATGTTAGCTCAGGAATTCTGGGAGTTGAAGTCCACAAGTCTTAAACTTGCCCGGTTTGGAGACCCTTGATCTAGATAAAATAGCACCTCACTCACCTTGGAGCAGCCATTTTTCTTGGAAAAATGAGCATTGATTTTATCCTTAAAGATGACATGGCCCAGATGTTTGGCGCCTTGTCGCTTAAGAAAGGCCAGATATTTGGCTCTTTGTGACAACCAGAAGGAAGGCCGGTTTTAGGTTTTGAACCAGGAAGCGTCTCCTGATGGGGAGGATGGGAGCCTTCACGGGCTCCCGCGTCTCGCACGCAGGTTCAAAGGCAGCAGGAAAGACGAAATCTTGGGGATCGCCAACAACCGCTTGATCCGGATCGACATGGCCGTCGGGGATGTGGTGAAGACGTGGCGGTACAGCAACATGCGTCAGTGGAACGTCAACTGGGACATTCGCCAGGTGAGCCCCCGCCGAAGGAGGGGAGGATTTGTACTCTTGAAAGTGGATTTGGACGCTGTTCAGTTGGCCCATCCCAGAAACAGTGGCCGATATGTGGGGACTACGGTAGCTCTTGACTTAGTCACCATTTGACGTCGCAAGGGCACTGAACAAGGGGACTTAAGGCCATTTCTTTCCCACTTAATGACCGTTGTGGCATCCGCGTGGTCATGTGATCAAAATTCCCAACATTTAGCAACTGGCTCGTATTTATGACCGTCGCAGTGTCCCTGGGGGTCACATGATCTCCTTTTGCGACCTTCTGAGCAGCAGCGGGGAAGCCGGGCTCACTTAACAACCGTGTGACTCACTTGACATCTGCAGTTGATTCACTTAACGAATGCGGTGAGAAAGGTCATAAAATGCGGCAAAACTCACTGAACTGCTTCACTCAGCGGCAGAAATTTGGGGCCTAATTTGTGGTCGTAAGTCACAATCTACCTGTACTCATTGTCAGCCCCATCGCAAGGGACTCGAGTCCCCCCCCCGCCCCCGTATAGCTAATCCTTGACTTCAGACGGGTTACTTACAACCTGTTCAAAGTTACAACAGGTCTCCCCAGAGCTACTTGCAACCCAATTTAAACGTTCCAACAACTGCCAACGCTCTGACAAATCTCTCCTTTCCACATCGGTGGCTTAAAGAAAACCAACCACCAGCGTCTCAAGATGCCCACAGCAACTGTAGGAAAATGGGATGGGACAACCGGGGACGGAGTCAAAGGAGACATCAGCTTAGCATCCCTATGTAGCCACAAGCAAAACTAAGTCCAACCTCCCTTGGATTCAGTTGAGCCTTAACTCCAAGCAGGGACCGACTGTTAAATGGAAAAGGTTCCTGCGCAGAGGCTCTCAGCAATAAAGCGATTTGGTCGCAACTCCAGAGATGAACCTGGTCTTCTACCCCTGACACCAACTGTCTTCCTCTGTTTGTTTTTCTTCAGGTGGCCATTGAATTCGATGAGCACATCAACGTGGCTTTCAGCTGCATCTCGGCCGGCTGCAAGACGGTCCACGAATACATCGGGGGTTATATCTTCCTGTCCACCCGGACAGCTGACCGGAGCCAGACGCTGGACGAAGAGCTCTTCCACAAGTTGACGGGGGGCCACGAAGCCCTCTGATGTCTCTCCGACCACGGCCTTCCCTTCTCCAAGGAGCAGCTGATCTCCACAACGGGCTGTCTATGTTCTACAGGAGACGTGGGAGGCCCTTAATGGAGTCCAGGCATCCATAAAGACTTGGAGAAGAATTATGAGAAGGAGGGAGGGAGGAGAGAATACAGTACGGTAACAGAGTGGGAAGGGACATTTGAGGTCTTCTAGTCCAACCCCCTGCTCAAGCAGAAGACCATAAGGACGAATTAAGTGTGGTTGTGTTGGTTTTTGTTTTTGTTTTTTGTTTTTTTAGTGTTTCACAGCAGGCTATTTGAGAGTTCACAACCAGGACTACACAGCAGAGTTAAGATAATTTTACTATTTTAAATATCTTGCCAAGAAGGATAATATTTACTCCTTCCTCCTCCGAGTAACTCAGGGATTTACCCAATGCAAGTTGGGGAGACCGGTACTTCTTTTGTTATTTTTGTACGGGAGCCAAAAATGCCAAAAAGGGAGTGTGTGTGTGTGTGTGTGTGTGTGTGTGTGTGTGTATGTGTATGTGGATTGTGTTGAGTGCTTTTGTGTTAACCGTCTTCGAGAGGCTATAAAGAGGATTTTTCACAAAAATGCTTCCTTCCCAACGTGAATATTCTTTCTCAGGGTTTGTCTAGATTGGGAGGAGGCAGTTTCATGTACCCACTTCCCCCCATTTACAGGTAGTCCTCGATTTACGACCACAATTGAGACCAAAATTTCCACCCTCAGTCGTTGCAGTTGGAAGCCAAGCCAGACCTGAATTTTTAGGGCTGTTTTTATGGTGGCCAATAAGCAAATTCCATCATCAAAAGTGCGGACCGATTGTTCCATTTTTATTTTTTTTTCCGAAAACTGTTATTATAAAAGGGCCACGTATTGTGGCCGTGGGATTGTAGGACACACATCAACTGTTTGCAAATGCAAGCCGGTGGCCAAAGCGCCCAATTGAGATCACGTGCCCAGGGGGGGGTCGTGTGCGTTGTGATGGTCGTCAACGCGAGGTTGTCATGATTCACTGTGCAACTGTAGCAAGGAAGGTCGTAAAATGGGGAAAAACTCACTTAACCGCCTCGCTTAGCCACAGGAATTTTAGGCTCCGTTAGGGTCCAAGGTCGAAGGCTACCTGAATGGGACTGGAGATATATTTCCCACGGGGAGGAGAAAAAGAGAAAGTTGACACCTGTTTTAATTCGAATAGTGAGGTTCCTGGTTTAGTGACGTGTTCAAAGAGACACACGTATGTGATCCATGGGTGTCTCTGGGACGAAAGGAAGGAAGGGAAGAGATCCCTGTCGGGAACGGTCACTCAAGAGGCAGAAGGACGCCTGGGGAGAGAAAAAGAGCGGAAGGCCCAGATAGGGGCGTTATTCCCGGCATAATACAAGTAGTCCTCCACTTACAACAGTTCATTTAGTAACCATTTGAAGTTACAACAGCACTGGGGCGGGGGGGGGGGGAGAAAAGCGACCGATGGCTGTTTTTTTCACACTGAACGACCGTTGCTCCACAGTCACCCGATCAAAATTCAGACGCTTGGCAAAACTGACTGGTACTTATGACCATTATACTATCCCGGGGTTATAGGATCCACTTTTTGGCCACCTTCTGATGAGCAGGGTCCACGGGGAAGCCAGATTCGCTGAACGACCGTTGTCACTAATTTCACAACTGCAGTTGAGTCCCTTAACAGATCATACATTTGTTTCCCAAAGGTCTTACTTAAGCCACAGGAATTCTGGGCCCGGTTGCGGTCGTAAGTCGTAAGGACAAACTGTAATGGCGAGCTGCCTGGAAAGTCCAGGTGAGACCAGCTGTTTCCAGGTGGAAACCCCCTCTACGGCCCACACCCGTGATGGTGAACCTATGGTAGGCGTGCCATAGGTGGCACACAGAGCCCTTTGTGTGGGCAAGCAAGCCCCCGCCAAACTTACCCACACTGCAGATGTGTGTGACTCTCGGCTGATTTCTGGCCCGTTTGAGGCTGTTTTCGCCCTCCTGGAGGCTCGTGGGAAGCCTCTGCAGCCTCGGGAGGCCGAAAAACAGGCCTTCTGGAAATACTGGAAGTGCTGAAACAGGCCTGTTTTTCGGCCTCCCGAGGCTGCAGAGGCTTCCCTCAAACAGCCTCAAATGGGCACATGTGCAGGGGGCAGGGCGCATTGCATTAGGGGTGCCGGCACCCAGATGCTTTCATAACAAAAAGGTTTGCCATCACTGGCCTACACTGAAGACACACACACACACACACACACACACGACTTCAAACTGCTGGTTTTATCCACGAGCGTCTTGAACCTGCAGAGCCCTGAACGGGGCCTAAGACCTAGAAGAAGCTTCAGACTTACGACGAGGTCGAAGCTGCAGTGCTCTGCTGAAGTATCGGGGAAGCAGCAGCCCGTCTGCGTTGCCTGGGCTCAGGATGACTCCGTTAGCCGAGCGGAAGAAAGGGATCCCATCTGTGGGGAAAGCAGAACTTCTCTGAGTCAAAGAACCCGCGTCGTTTCTTCCCCTGCCTCTAAAAGACAGGCAGACAAGTTGAGGCCCCTCTCCCAGGATTTCAGACTGGTTCCCACCACCCGCCCGCCTGCACATTCCACCTTCAGCACCAGGAAAGAAGGCAGTATGGTAACAGAGCTGGAAGGGACCTTGGAGGTCGTCTAGTCCAACCCCCTGCTCCAGCAGGAAACCCTACATCATTTCGGACAAATGGTTGTCAAATCTCTTCTGAAAAGCCTCCAGGGATGAAGCATCCATAACTTCTGGCGGCAAGTAGTTCCACTGGCTTTCTCCTTAGTTCCAGGTTGCTTCTCTCCTTGGTTAGTTTCCATCTGTTGCTTCTTGTCTTGCCTTCGGGGGCTTTGGAGCAGGAGCTGCCCACCTTTTGGACCTCAGGGACCACCAAACTCATCATTTTAAATCCCGCGGACCAGAGACCCTGGGAAAATCCCCCCCAAAAAAGTTTGCAGGAAAATTCCCCACCCCGTTTTCCTACCGATCGATCGTTCTTTATTTGGGATCGCAGGATACCGTCTCCAGCTCTGTTCTCAGGGGGAGAGAGAGAGAGAGAAAGGGAGAGACTTTTGGCTTCATGCAAGGAAAGCAGCAGAAGCCGCAGAACTCTTTCTTTCTTTCCCTCAAACTCCTCCAGAAATGAGTCTTTGCCGGCGTGGCCTCTTGGAGCAGGAGGCCTTGCAGGGTCCCAAAGACTCATTTCTGGCAGAGTTTGGGGGAGACAAAGAAAGACTTTGGCTGCTTTCCTTGCGTGTAGCCCAAAGCAGAAGAAAGAAGTGGAAAGAAGCAGACAGGTGGCCAGGCCAGGTGTGTGGGGCTAGTGGGGCAAGTTCCCCTCCCTCTGCCCTTTCCCCCCTCCCCTCGCTACCTCGTGTTGTTCACTATGCAAGTGACGCAAGCCTTGTGTTCCTGCGGGCCATGTGGGCGGCGCAGCCTCGTGTTCCTGCGCAGCCTGGTTTAGTTGCTTGTGGGGGGGACATTTCTCTGCGGACCACCAACATTTCTTCGCGGACTGTTGAGGTAATTCCCCGTTAGGAGAATGAGCGCATACAGGGAGACGTATTTGAGAGGAGTGTTTGAATAATACACGTACAGCACTCAGATACACTGTACAGTAAATGTAGGTTTTTACTTCCAGAAACGTTAAGCAAAGTCCAAAATAGGCAGTCCAAAATCATTCACAGGTAAATCAGTCAGTTTTTCAATCCAGGGATAATCCAAATATCAAAGTCCAGGGTCAAAAAACAGTTCAGTATCAGACTTACATTAAATCCAGTAATATCAATCAATTAAAAGAAATGGAGGAACGGCAATACTTTCCAACAGAAGGAAACAGAGATACACTCACGCTCTCTTCTGAGACCCAGACTGAAACAACCCAGGTTTCTGGCTCCATCTTATGGCCGTTTGAGAAACCACACCTAATTACACTTTTGCATTTTCTTAAAGTTACAGTTTTAAAATGTTTATCCGGGTTTATATATTTCTAACCCAAATACCTGTTAGGTGACTCATATTCCTAACACGGACCACCAGTGGTCCCCGGCCCACTGGTTGGCGACTACTGCTTTGGGGAGCAGGCTGACCCCCTCTTCTTGGGGGGCAGCCCCTCAAATACTGGCAGGCTTCTATCACGTCACACCTTCTTTTCACTAGACTAGACAAACCCAATTCCTGCAACCCCATTCTGCTCAGAGAAGTAAGCAATGGAAGGTGATTGAGAGTGCAGAGTCACAGAGTTGGAACGGCTCTTGGAATACAACCCACTGCTCCAACCGGAGACCCTACACCATTTTCAGACAAATGGCTGCCCAATCTCTCCTTAAAAGCTTAAAAAGATGGAGCACTCGCTGTAGGCAAGCTGTTAAATTAAAGGTTTCCTTCTGTCTTCTGCTGTACAAGGTTGGTCTTCACTCACCTGCCAGCGCCTTGGGAATATCAAGGATTATGGCCACTTCAGAACTGTTTCTCATCCCTGGGAAGAGAAGGACAAGGCTAGACTTGAATGCATGAAGGGTTTGTCCAAGTTAGGATTGTACACACCAGGTTGATTATTCAATTATTTTGGTGGAGGTTCACACACCACACTATTTCCTATCAGACCTACGAGGTAAACCAGACTAAGAAACCCAGGCCATTTAAATCTGGATTATTTTTATGGTAACAGGTATAGTAACAGGATCTTGCAAGTTATTCTCTTGGCCAGGGTTCAAATCCCCATTTATCTGACCATTGCACTGGTAGCACCCCCCTTCCTGTACTAATAAAGGAGAATGTTTGTAGCTCAGGGTTGAAATGAGGGCTGCTTGGTGCTCTCTGAGCTGGGTGGTTTTCTTGCAGATGTTTCATGACCCAACTAGGGAACTTCATCAGTGCTAGAAGGGGGTGGGGGGATTGCTCATTCTAGCACTGACGATGTGACCTAGTTTGGTTATGAAACGTCTGGAAGGAAGAGGGAACTCCTCACTGAAAACCCCTCACTTCCTTCTGTCTGCCAAGGTCCTTCCCTGTTCCCGCTACTGGGTGTGTCTAAGCCCTTTGATTTGTAAACCTGGAGTATATGAGGTTTTCCAACCTTTAATAGCTATAAAAATAGCACTTTGGTTTATATACCACTTTACAACCCTCTCTGAGTGGTTTGCAAATGTCAGCCTCCTGCCCCCAACAATTTGGGGTCCTCGTTTTACCAACCTCAGAAGGACGGAAGGCTGAGTCAACCTTGAGCCGGTCAGGATCAAACGCCTGGCAGCGGGCAAAGTTAGCCAGCAATACTGCATTCTACCTACTGCACAGCCTTTTGAGTGTCTTTACAATCAATCCAAAATCCAGGACGGTCTCCCGAAGGAAGACCGCTGCTAACAGGGATTAAAAATGACTTGGAGTGAGAGGCTGTTTGAAATTCCCAACAGAGAAGGATTCTGAGGCCACTGAACCCAAGGCAACCTGCCTTCTTCCACACACACACACACACACGTGCACCCTTGCTCAAAGTGCAGCACTCACCACTTAGGACGTCCCCGTCCCCTGGCAATCCGGGGGCTAAATGGATGTGTGTCCTCCCCATGCGAGACAGGCCACGCTGACGAATGGCTGGCCAGTGGCGCAGAAGTGTGCCGTGAGCCACGGTCTCTGGGAAATCTTGCAGGTCCTGCAGCGGAGTTAATTCCAGTTCGGGAACCTGGAAGGGACAAGAATGACCATCGAGAACTTGCTGGGATGAAATAGCTATACCCTTTTCCGACCTGAGCAGGTCGGGTTTGAATTTATTTCAAGAAACCAAGCGGGATAAACCAGTTAGCAAGAGAGAAAAGCCATCGCTGTACTTTATGGTAAAGCTTATGCTGGCCAGAATCTTGGAAGTCTGGAAAACAAGGCAGACAAAAAGGTGATACAGGAGAAATGAAAGACCCAGTTTGGTGTAGGGGTTTAAGATAGGCTTATCACCAGGAGGCTGTGAATTCTAGTTCCCCTTTAGGCAGGAAGGCCAGCTGAGTGACTTTGAGCCTATGACCAGGAGATGGTGAGTTCTAGTCCCGCCTTGGGCATGAAAGGCAGCCGGATAACGTTTGGGCCAGTCCCTCTCCCTCAGCCCAGCCCACCTCACAGGGTTGTTGTTGTGGAAAAAAATAAGAGAAGGGGGATTAGGTACCTTCAAACACACACACACACACACACACCATAAATATATAAAAGCAGCGTAAAAAAACCCTAAGAAAATCAATTACCTACTTAGGATGTCTACCGTTGCAGAGAACAACAGAAAATACCCATTTGCAGGCAGTTTTTTCTCTGGATTCCTCAAAGCTAAAATCTGCCCCTGACTCTGATTTCTGTGACGAACGCTTCACTATTCATTTTTCCTGAGGACATGGTTACAGACCTCTAGGTATCTATTTTCTGCTCCTGAAATAAAAGCTCCAAGTGTACACCTGAATTATCTCTGACCTCCTTACCTGTATCGAGTGCCCTTGGTTCGCACGGATCTGGAGGTGTCCACTGGATGGATGTCGGCACAGAGCAAAACGCTGTTTTTCGTTCGTCTCCACGACGCGTTTCACGTCCTCCTCGGACCAGGCCTTAAATTGGGGCAAGCGAAGAATCTCCCCCAGGTCGACAAAGCCATCTAAGGATTCAGGAACAAAAGGAGAAAGGCTAAGTTTAAGCCTTGTGCTAAAAATCACATTCGGCTTAAGCCACAATCGCTCAGCACCTAAATCAAGAATTCTGAATGTACAAATTACAGTGTCTAGATCTGCGCACAACACACTGTTAACACTGAGGATGTTCCCTAGCTGGGTAATGAAACGTCTGCAAGAAAACAACCAGACTCAGAGAGCACCAAGGACTATACACACATGCATGCACACACACACAACACACCAAACAAGCCATGTTACAACACGGCTTGAATCACAAACCCAATTTTTCCTTCTTCCTTGGGGGAGGGAACCAGCTAAGCTTTGATGGTCTCTGAACTTGGTTGTTTTTCTTGCAGATATTTCATAAACAAACAAGACAACCTCATTGGTGTTAGAAGAGAGTGGGCTTTGCAGAGGGGAGGAGGAAGAGGAGGAAGAGGAGGAGGAAAGGAGGAAGACGAGAAGAAGAAAAGAAGAGAGGAGAAGGAGGAGGAGGAAGAAGAGGAGGAGGGGGGAGGAGGAGGAGGAAGAGGAGGAAGAGGAAGAGGAGGAGGAGGAAGAAGGAAGAAGAAGAGGAGGAGGAAGACAAGAAGAAAAGAAGATGAGGAAGAGGAGGAAGAAGAAGAGGAGGAGGAGGAAGAGAAGAAAGGAGGACGAGGAGGAAGAGGAAGAGGAGGAGGAAGAAGAAGGAAGAAGAGGAGGAGGAGGAGGAGGAAGACGAGAAGAAGAAAAGAAGAGGAGGAGGAGGAAGAGAAGAAAGGAGGAGGAGGAGGAAGAGGAGGAGGAAGAAGAAGGAAGAAGAAGAAGAGGAGGAGGAGGAGGAGGAGGAGGAGGAGAACTGTGGGGTCCTTGATGTTTCCTGAGCTTAGTGGTTTTCTTGTAGACCTTTCATGATCTACATCAATGCTACAGACGAGCGAGGTTCACTCTCTGCAAGCAAACTACTTGCATATAAACAGAGAGCAACCCCTACTCCCTTCTGGCACTGATAATGATATCTAGCTGGGTAATGAAACGTCTGCAAGAAGCAACCGAGTTCCAGAGACAGCCCAGGACCCCCACCCCATTGAAATGAAATTCTTGGTGGGCTCCCTCTTTCAAAACCCTCGCTTTCTGCTGAGGAGGTGCAAAATAAAAGCCGGGTTTGCCCAGGCTGGAAACGTGGCCACCGGCCTGGCTTTATTTATAATTTTCTGCCTTTCTCGGTTCACGGTAAAAATAGCGCCCCCTTCAGAGCTGTCCCCCGCTGGACGCTCTGCGAGGCTCCCGCGACCGTAAGCCTCGGGTGTCCCTGTTTGACGTGCCGGCCACTAAGCGGGAAAGCGTCAGGAAATCACTCACCAGAGGACATGTGGAGGCTGAGGATCTCTGCCCCGTGGCGCAAAGCATACGAGAGCGCTTTGGACAGACGGACATCTGGATCCTGGAAGGGAAGTTTGGAGGAAAACTCAGGAGGGCAAGAAGAAAGGGAAAAATAGCCAAAGGTCCTGGAGAAGGGCAGAAGGAGAAGACCTGACCTGCAAAGACAGTGCTTGGTTTACGACCGTTCCCTTAGGGACCGTTCCAAATTACAACGGCCCTGTGAAAGAAGGGACTTACAACCGGTCCTCTAACTTACAACCGTTGCGGCATTCCCCACCTTCCCATGATCAAAATACCGGCGTGTACAGGTAGTCCTTGACTTACAAGAATTTGTTTAGGGACCGTTCAGAGTTACAACGGCACTGAAAAAAAGGGACGGAGGGAAGGTTTTCACACTTATGACGTGTGATTAGGATTCGGCTGCTTGGCAACCGGCTCATGCTTATGACCGTTGCCGTGTGTCCCAAGGTCACCTGATCCCCTTTTGCGAACTTCTGACCAGCAAAGTCAACGGGGGGGGAGCTGGATTCGCTTAAGGACCGTGTGACTAACGTAAGAACTTCTGTGGCAAAGAACAGTCACGAAATGGGGGCAAAGTTGCTTAATCAACGTCCCGCTTAAGAACTGAAACGTTGGGCTCCATTGCGGCCATAAGGTCGAGGACTGGAAGATAGAATGATAGAATAGCAGAGTTGGAAGGGACCATAGAGGTCTCCTAGTCCAACCCCCTCTGCTTAGGCAGGAGGAAACCCAACACCAAGATAAAAACTTGTGAGCAGGGCGTTTTGTGGTGCAAAGGGAAATCTTTCGTGGAGATTCTTCCTTATATGAGGAAGGTAAGGAAGGAAGGAAGGAAAGGAAGGGAGGAAGAAAGGAAGGAAGGAAAGGAAAGGAAAGGAAAGGAAAGGAAAGGAAAGGAAAGGAAAGGAAAGGAAAGGAAAGGAAAGGAAGGAAGGAAGGAAGGAAGGAAAGGAAGGGAGGAAGGAAGGAAGGAAGGAAAGGAAAGGAAAGGGAAGGAAGGAAGGAAGGAAGGAAGGAAGGAAAGGAAGGAAGGGAAGGGAAGGGAAGGGAAGGGAAGGAAAGGAAAGGAAGGAAGGTGGACTCAGAGAGGGAATCTCTCTGACCTGATCTCTGGATCTTCTGCCGCTTCTTCGCTTCCGCTCTCTTCTTGCAGAGTTTTGCAAAACTTCCTCGCCGCCGCTTGATCCTGCCGCAGCCATGTGTTTTTACCCCTACAAAATCTCCCTGGGTAGTAGATACTGCAATGATGATTATGATTATTATTTTTCTCTCCCTGACGTTCAAGGGGGGGGGGGGGGTTTAATTTCTAGAACGTGCCCTTTGTGACTTCGTCCTGGTCTTGCTGGCTGGGAAAAGGGGGAAGGGGGTGTTGCTGTTTTGGTGCCAACAACCTGAAACCTCTCCAATGCACCGTGTGTAAAAAAAACAACTGGGAGTCAGCTGATCTGCCGGGGCTGCATGGGCTTCTGGGAGTTGTAGTTTTTTTTTTAATTTTCTCCATAGCATCTTGCGCTCCTCCTCACTAAGTCTGCAGTCTGGATGTTCTCCAGCTAGGTTGGCTTGTCGTTCCCAGGGGACTTCAGGGGAGGGGTATTCCGGCCAGCAGGCTTGGAAAGGCTGCATTAAACGGAGCTTAATTCAGAAATACAGGCGGTCCTTGACTTAAAACTTTTCATTGAGCTAACAAACGATGAACGGTTGCAGGAAATGGGCCTGGCTAGTTTGGTGAAGAGAAGGACCAGGGGAGGACAGGATAGTAGCCTTCCAGTATTTGAGGGGCTGCCCCAGAGAGGAGGAAGGGGGTCAAACTATTCTCCAAGTCACCTGAAGGCCAGACAAGGAAGAATGGATGGAAACTGATCAAGGAAAGATTCAACCTGGAAATAAGGAGGAACTTTCTGACAGGGAGAACAATACAGAAGTTGCCCTCGGAAGTTGTGGCAGCTTCATCCCTGGAGGCTTCCAAGAAGAGAATGGTGTCGGGAATGGTGTAGGGTCTCAGTGGGGTGGGTGGGGGTTGGACTAGATGACCCCCAAGGTCCCTTCCAATTCTGTTAATCTGTTTGAAGATGTAACATTGCCACTGGTCCTCGCCTGTAAAGCAGGCAAGGCAGCCCCCACCCAAAATTGGGGCCCTTGGCAGGTTATTTATGCCAGTTGTGACATCCTGGGGGAAATCTCGTGTGACCTCCATTTTGTGACCTTCCTAGTTGGCTTCCAACCAACAGAGCCAATGGGTGGGATTTGGATTCGTTTAGCGACTGTATGGTCCACTTTAAGAACTGCAGTGAAAAAGGAAGGCGTAAAACGAGGCTTAACAAGTCACGTAAGCGTCTTGCTCAGCCATGGTCCCAATTGTGGTCATTAAGTGGAGGACTTGTCATTTGAGGGTCTCCTGCTTGAGCAGGGGGTTGGACTAGAAGACCTCTAAAGGTCTCTTTCAACCTTGTTCTCAAACCTTGGCGGCCGGACTGTCCAATCTCCTCTTGAAAACCTCCCAGGATTTACAGGCGGTCCTCGACATACGAGAACGTTTCTGTTGCTACCCTTTAGTTTGTTTGTGAGTTTTTCCCCGTTTTTACGATCTTCCTTGCCAGAGTTCTTAAGGGAATCCCCACCATTGTTAAGTTAATCGCACGGTCGTTAACTGAATCTGGCTTCCCCCGTGGACTTGGCTTGCCAGAAGGTTGCCAAAGGGGAATCGCGTGACCCAAGGAACGCTGCCACCATCATAAGGGTGAGCCAGGTGCCAAGCGCCTGGATTTTGATCACGTGACATGGGGATGCTGCAAAAACGGTCCTAAGGCACTTTTTCCAGTGCTACTGCCGTAACCTCAGTCACTAAGTGATCTGTTGTAAGCCGAGGACCACCTGTGTTTTATGATACGGTTTTTTAAATGCAGCCTTTATCCCCAGATAGCCACTGGATGTCACTCTTGCCTTTCTTTGCTCCTTCTTGGTATGGTTTAAAACTGCGACTCCTGCCTCCCAAATCAACAGGAAAGTCATTTCAAGGACAAAAACAGCCGAATATAAGAGGGATTTTAAAAAAAATAAACAACCCTGCAGACCATCCAAAGTGTAATACACACACCCAAGCCGGCAGATGAAATGGAACAATTAATGAAAACTACCATTTCTGTCTTTTTTTTTTTTTTGCTTCTTCAAACATCTGTCTTTTTATTTCATTTCACCAGCCTGTTCGGTGGCGAGATAGTTTTCCTCCCACCAAGGAAAGTTTTTCTTTTTAAATTATTATTTTTTTCCCCCTGGGATTTCTCCTTCTTTGCATTCTGTCTTCAGCGCCAGGGACAAGACTTTGGAAGGCCAAAACAGTTCGCCGGTATTGAAAGCAGACAGTGACGAAGCAATGCAAAGGGTGCCTTTCAAAATAATCACTCGGCAGAAGAACATTTCGGATAGACCGAAGTGTGATATATAGGTTTAAGGGGGCCGTTTTTTAAAAAAACGGGGTTCATGTCAGTCCCTTCGGAGGAGGCCGTGTGGTTTGCAGGCTGCCCTGGGCAATCTAAGGGGACCCTCCCACCAATCTGACATTCCACACAAAAGGTGCTGTGAAGCACACGGGACCTGTGCAAGTCACACTAGTCGACGGTGGTGCGTGGAATAAAAATGTGCCCCTCCCAAAAGAAGCGGAGCACATCAGCCAATTGTGTTTTTCTTTTCCCTGTGGGTCATGTAGCCACAACCGTGGCAGCTTTAAAGTGGGTGGACTTCAACTCCCAGAATCCCCCAGCCAGCATGCTTTAAGATGGGTGGGCTTCAATTCCCAGAATCCCCCATCCAGCAGGCTTTAATATGGGTGGACTTCAACTCCCAGAATCCCCCATCCAACATGCTTTAAGATGGGTGGGCTTCAACCCCCAGAATCCCCCCACCCAGCATGCTTTAAGATAGGTGGACTTCAACTCCCAGAATCCCCCATCCAGCAGACTTTAATATGGGTGGACTTCAACTCCCAGAATCCCCCATCCAGCATGCTTTAAGATGGGTGGGCTTCAACCCCCAGAATTCCTCAAGAAGCATGCTTTAAGGTAGGTGGATGGTTTATAAGTTGAGAACTACCTGCATTGGGTAGAGGGAGAATTTAGTTGAAATCTAGGCAGGACTCCGTGTCTCTTTTCAGCCAAAACGTCACTCGAGATTATACGAGTAAATCGAAGCCAGATTGGTGTCCCCAGACCCCCTTAAACCCACTGACCCAGTTGAGCAAGATGTAAAGGCCAGTAACGGATCTTCCATGCCTCTCGAATCTAGGAAAGTAGAAATCTTTAAATAAATATATCAGCCGGACGACATGGGTCGCAGCTCAGACACTAAGCTGCTCAGGCCGGGGATAAGATGTTGATGGATTGGGGGGGGGGGAAGTGGGGGCACCCAGATTGTAGTTCATTAATTGCCTCCAAGCTGCCAATAATCCAGATAATCAGGACTTGGCGAGGGGATCTGCTAAATCCCCCGAATTGCTGATGTTCTCACCAATTCAGTTCTTCCGTCCCTCTGAAACAGGATATTTGGAACTCCTTAAGTCGGCCAGCGGACGGGAGGAAGCATTTCGTGCCATTCTTCTTAATCTTGAAAACGGTCGCAATGCGCACGTGCGACAGCAGCCAGACATTTTCCTAAGACGTTGTTTTGTCAGCCCAGACATTGTTGCTTGTCCGTCGTGGCTGGAAGTTTTGCAAACTCAATCAAATGTGGTTTTATTCCATCAAGCGGCAGCCCGAACCCAACGTAAGTTTATTTTTAAAATTGAAAAAAAAAACCAGAATGCTATCAGCTGTGTTCACACAACATGGTCCCAAATCACGATTTATGAATCACAACCGATCCCATAACGCGTTAAACCCCAAACGAACACATTAAGGTTTACGTAACGGCTCCTTCTCTATAAAAGCTTCTATCCCAGGGCAGTAACGCTATTGAATTCTACTGTATAGTGCAATATTAATGCAATATCAGGGGTTTTCAATTCAAATTCAATGTACAGAATGTGAAGGATGTGTGTTTGTGTTTTATTTTTATAGTCATAAATTGTACACTGAAGACCGTATTTAATTTTGTTGTACAAGGGGCAATGACAATAAACTAAACTAAATATGAACCACATTATTGGACTCAGAACTCTTTGTTTTGTTTGAGGTTTTTGCTTAAAATACAAGGCACATTCTTCATTTTTTCCCCCACTCCAACGCTATATTAAAAAGTGTTCACAGGGCAAAACTTATAAGCCCACCAAACACTGTGCAGAATTCAGGGCTGTATATCCACCAAAGCACAATTTAATTTCGGGACAAAAAAACCAACCGAGCTAACAGTGTAGATTCTAGCTTAGCTATTTCCCAAGGATGGGATGTAGGAAGAGAAAGCGGCCAGATGAGTGGAGAGGAGGACAGGAAATGCAGGCTCAGAAGCCTAGCCCAAACTATCCTATGAAATTGTACCTAAAATGAGTATTATTATTATTATTGTTGTTGTTGTTGTTGTTATTGTTCTGAAAAAAAAGCTCTTTATTGAAAAATGAAGCCCCAGAGGCACAGTTCTAGGAGCTGGAAGTCCTTACCAGTTTGTTTTCTGGAGAGGGGGTGAGTCTTGGCATAACTGCCCTCTTTTACTGAAAAGCAGGAACCGGTGGATTTGTGTTGATATTTGACATTTTGGTAAAGAGCAGCCCTTGAGAGAGAGAGAGAGTCTATCAGCCGGCTTTTACGGTTGCACTCCCAGCACCTCTGTGTAAAGTTTCACGGCCCCTTTGGCCGACGGGCACAGTTCATTCCACCACTCGCCCTTCTGCTCCATCGACGGGACGTCCTGCACAGACAGAGAGAGAGACATGAGAGAGATGACGAAACGGGAGGAAGTCCAACAGGACGTGCAAGGATGGTTTTCGTGGGCAGAGGTTTTGATGGGGTGAGGGTGATTTTCGAGGTGGGCTAAAGTTTACACTCTAGCTGGGTCCACCTCTTTTCTGGTAAACTTCAAGGCAGAATAATGACACCCAATTAACTCTAGCGCATCCCCAAGAGGGTGAGAGGCTCAGAATAGAATAGAATAGAATAGAATAGAATAGAATAGAATAGAATAGAATAGAATAGAATAGAATAGAATACTTTATTGGCCAAGTGTGGTTGGACAAACAAGGAATTTGTCTTTGGTGCAAATGCTCTCAGTGTACGTAAAAGAAAAGAGACATTGGTCCAGAGTTAAGAATAGAATTAGAATTAGAATTAGAATAGAATTGAATAGAATTAGAATTAGAATTAGAATTAGAATTAGAATTAGAATTAGAATTAGAATTAGAATTAGAATTAGAATTAGAATTAGAATTAGAATTAGAATTAGAATTAGAATAGAATAGAATAGAATACAATTCTTTATTGGCATA